CAGTTGGGGGCATTAGGCAGGCAGGCTGGTGAGTGGTTAGGAGACAGTGGTCCTGGATTGTGAGAGGGATGTCTGACTGCCAGCAGTCAGACATCCCCCAAGGGGTCCCAGATTGGAGAAGGTGCAGGTGGACTGAGTGACATCCTTCCTTCAGTGCACAAATTTCGTGCATGTCTAGTTGAAAAATAAAATTAAAAAAAGAAAATAATGGAATAAAATTTTAAATGTATTGATATACTATAGTTTTAATTCAATCATTGATGAGAGTAAAAGTCCTAATCATCAAAGTGTTCTTAAATTATAGGGTTAGAAGAAAAATCAATAAAAAAACAGGCAATGCTTACACAAATGTGTAAATAGAGTTTAGTCTCTCTTCATTTTGGATAAAAAATGTCAATAATATATTCTTTTCATCGAAAACATTGCAAAACAGGATTGAATAATACATTTCATTCATTCATTCATTCATTCATTCATTCAAATACACCAAACCAGGTTCACATGAAAACAAACATAATGGGGAACCAAGCTCTTTTTATATGGTACTAGAGGCCCAGTGCACAAAATTCATACACTCTGGGGAGGAGGGTACCCTCAGCCCAGCCTGAGCCCTCTCACAGTCTGGAAGCCCTCTGGAGATGTCCGACTGAAGGCTCTCCCCAGGGGAGCAGGCCTAAGCTGTCAGTCAGACATCCTCAGCACTTCTGCGGAAGCAGCAGAGGCTCACGCCACTGCGGCTGTGTTTGCCAGCCGTGAGCCCAGCTTCTGGGCTTCTGGCTGAGCAGAGCTCTCCCTTGTGTGAGTGCACTGACCACCAAGGGGCAGCTCCTGCATTCAGCGTCTGCCCCTTGGTGGTCAGTGCACATCATACCAACTGTTCATTCTGCCATTAAGTCGATTTGCATATTACCCCCTTTTTATTATATAGGATTATTGTTAAATTGAGAGTGGAAGGGAGAGTGGACAAGAACATGAGACTATTATGTAAAACATATTCAAACACAGTTGAAATGGAATTTCAAACTCTGTGTACATTTTTTTCTGATCTTAGAAAATTTAGATTGTGAAATATCCTGAAATATAAAGTATTATTCTTTTCTGATTTTTATGGTTAATGAGATAAAATATATTTTCTTAGTGAAAAACTAGAGGAAGGTCACTGGAACTGCTACTTCCAAACCCAACCCAGTCCCCTTACTCTTTGGAAAAATAATCCAATATTTATTTGTGCTACATTTCTGAGCCTCCCTTTAAAAAGATGTGGTCATGTGACCTAATCTTGGCCAATGAGATGCAAGTAGAGTTGCTGCATGGCATTTCTATGGAGGCTAGTGAAGACAGTCTAATCAGCTAGGAAGGGTACTTATTAATTTTTTTTCAAAACTTTTTTTTTTTTTACTTTGTCTTTACTCTTGATTCTGGTCTCTGATTCATTTGTGAAGGCTTAACCATCAGCTCTCTTACATCATCAGGGAACCTCAAGCATGAAGGTCATACTCTCTGATAGCAGGAAAAGAAGTTTAACTTTAGTTCTCTTATGGTTCTGTGGAACATATGTTTCACTGGACTACTGATGTTTGAACTGATTCTTTGTGAGAGAAAAATAAACAGCTATCTCATTTAAGCTCCTATTATTTTGCTATCTTCAATTATATGCAGCTATACATAATCTTAATCATTATAGATCCAGCAATTTGATTTTTTTCTCAGACACATTTACAGAAAAAAACACTGTTGATTTAGTCAATGCAAAAGTGTAAAGTACATATTCTAGACATTTTAATAAATCAGGTTATGATTTGGTAATATTTCTTTCTATCAAAGATTCATTTTGCAAAATTTCAATATGAATTATGTCAAGATAAAGGCATCCAAATTGTAAACGAGGAAGTAAAATTGTCATCATTTGCAGATGACATGATGTTGTACATAGAAAACTCTAAAAATGCCACCAAAAAAACTGCTAAATTTAATACATGAATTTGGCAAAGTAGCAGGCTACAAAATTAATACCCAGAAATTCATGGCAATTTTATATACCAATAATAATTCTCAGAAAGAGAAGCTAAAAATATCCCATGTACTATTGCAATGAAAAAAATAAGATACCTAGGAATAAACTTAAACAAGGAGGAAAAGATTTGTACTGGAAAAATTATAGAACATTGAAATAAGAATAGAGGAAGATACAAACTAGTGGAAGCATATGCCATGTTCATGGATTGGAAGAATTAACATCATTAGAATGTATACACCACTCAAAACAATCTATAGATTTAATGCAATCCCTATTAAAATTCCATCAGCATACTTCACAGATATAGAACAAAAAATTATATGGAACCAAAAAAGACACCAAATAGCCAAAGAAATCTTGAGAAAGAAGAACATAGTTGGAAGGATCACAATATCAGATATTAAACTATACTACAAAGCCATTGTAAGCAAAACAGCCTGGTACTGGCACAAGAACAGGCATATAGGTCAATGGAACAGAACAGAGAGCACAGAAATTGACCCATACTAAAATAGTCAATTAATATTTTAAAAAGGAGGCAAGAGCATATAATGGAGTGAAAATACTAAATTGTAAGTTGTGAAACCATTAAAATTCAAGAAGAAAACATAAGCAGTAAAATTTCAGACATCAGAATTTTCACTGATTCAATTCTTAGGGCAAGAGAAACAAAGGGAAAAATAAACAATGGAAGTATATCAAACTAAAAAGCTCTTCACAGAAAAATAAAACATCCTCAAAATATAAAGAGAGCCCACTGTATGAGGGAACATATTTGCCGATGATATATCTAATAAGGGGTTAATTTTCAAAATATATAAAGAACTTATCAAGTCAACAAAAGGAAGATAATCCAATTAACAAATGGGCAAAATACCTGAATAGACACTTCTCCAAGAGTACGTGTAAATGGCCAAGAGACATATGAAAAAATGCTCAAAGTCACTAGTTATCTGAGACATGCAAATAAAAATGACAATGAGGTATCACCTCACACCTTCCAGAATGGCTACTATCAATAACTCAACAAGCGCTGGTGAGGATGTGGAGAAAATGGAACCCTAGTACACTGCTGGTGGGAATGCAGATTGGTGCAGCCACTGTGGAAAACAGTATGGAGGTTTCTCAAAAAAATAAAAAAAATAAATGGAACTGCCATTTGACCCACAGATTCCACTTTTAGGGATATATCATTAGAATCCTGAAACACAAATAAGAAAGAATATATGTTCACAGCAGCACTATTTACATTAGCTAATATCTGGAAACAGCCCAAGTGCTCATCAGTAGATGAGTGGATAAAAAGCTGTGGTACATTTACATCATGGAATGCTATGCAGTTGTAAAAGAGAAGGGTCTCTTATCCTTTGAGACAGCATGGAAGGACCTGGAGATTATCACGCTAAGCAAAAATAAGCCAATCAGAGAAAGACAAATATCACATGATCTCACTTATATGTGGAATCTAATGAACAAAATAAACTGATGAACAAATAGGTCCATAGACATGGAAGCATGGAATAGACTGATAGATCTTAGATGGAAGTGGGGGGATGGGGTGCAGGGAAAAGATTAACCAAAGAACTTATAGCCCATGGAGAGAGATAATGGTGCAGTGAAGGCCTGGGGTGGGGTGGAAGATGTGCAGAAGGTGACGAAGGGGGAGAAAGTGTGGCCACCTGTAATACCCTCAACAATAAAAATAAATTAAAAATAAAATATATTAAGGTAAAATAATAGTACTTTTTTTTCATTTAGCTATTATCCAACAATTCTGTGTAACAAATAACAGGACAATCTTAATGGAATAAAACAATAAATTTATTTCTTGCTTGTTTAACTGTAGGTTGGTTGGGTTTCCATTTATTTAAAGTAAACTTAACTGAGCTTGTTTCTAGTTATGTGTTGAACTCAAGTCAGCTTCAAATATCTCTTATTCTTTTTGAGGGACCAAGCTACCTAAAACAGGTTTGTCTCATTGATGAGGTCAGGTGGTCCTAGAGAGTGAGCTGAATCATGCAAGGCCTTTAATGCCTATGCAGAAATAGCATCTATCATTTCTATATATTCCTCAATGACAAGAGCAAATCATATGACCAAGCTTATCATCTGTGGACATAGGATGTATTCTTTCCAAGAAGACCAGGATTGGGAAAAAATAAATTTTAGATAAGCAATATCCAAATATTCCAAAATGTATTAGAACGTTAAGTGTATCACACATTTCCAACAGACAAATTTTCTTATTAAAGGGAAAGTATAAAAATACTTCAGTTCTTGGAACTTAAACTAAAAGTGTATCATACTGTCATATGATCATACTTTTAAACTCCTTCATCACATATCACCAGTGAAAACAATTTTAGAAGCCAAAATCTACCTTTTTCTAAGAAAATGGCATCAACTATAGATGTTTAGCTAAATATATGTATTTTCTATATGATAAAACTAATTCCAATTTTTGGAAAGCGACAATGAGTGAAATTATACTACAAATTCTCATTAGTAAGTCCTATCTAATAAAGAGGGAATATGCTAATTGACCCTCACGCCATTGCAAAGATGGCAGCACCCACAGCCAGTAAGGAGGGAATATGTTAATTGCTGCCATGCCCTCAAAGATGGCAGCACCCACAGCCAATAAGGAGGGAATATGCTGATTGACTGCCCCACCCTCAAAGATGGTGGCACCCACAGCAAATATGGAGGGAATATGCTAATTGACTGCCATGCCCTCAAAGATGGCAGCACCCACAGCCAATAAGGAGGGAATATGCTGATTGACTGCCCCACCCTCAAAGATGGTGGCACCCACAGCAAATATGGAGGGAATATGCTAATTGACTGCCATGCCCTCAAAGATGGCAGCACCCACAGCCAATAAGGAGGGAATAAACTAATTGACTACCCCACCCTCAAAGATGGCAGTGCCCACAGCCACAAGATGGCAGCGCCCAGTCCCTTCAGCCCCGCTAGGGCGGCAGGCGCAAGGCAAGCCGCTCCATGCTCCTACCTCCAGAGTCCCCCAGTCCTCTCAGGCCCTCAGCTTCCCAGGGCTGACCCAAGGTGCAGGCAAGCCTTGGATGGCAGCTGCCCAGCCACCCAGGGCCTCCTGAGGCTCAGGTAACCAGGGCCGGCTGAGGCTTGCACTACCGGCCGTGGCAGTAGCAGAGGTGTGATGGGGCGTCGCCTTCCCCTGATTGCCGGGTCACCTCTTGCCCCTGAGGGCTCCCGGAGTGTGAGGGGGGCAGGCCGGGCTGAGAGACTCCCCCCTCCAGTGCATGAATTTTCATGCACCGGGCCTCTGGTATATATATAAAAGCCTAAGCGACCATTATGACCAGATGACTAGACGACCAGGTGACCAGCTGGTAGCTATGACATGCACTGACCACCAGGGGGCAGACGCTCAATGCAGGAGCTG